GTTTTGAGACAACCACCTATCTGTGATGGATTGGCCACCTTAGAAGCATTTTATATAAAGAAACTAAATTAGCATTATTTGATTGCACTTTTGTCCGATACTGTATATATATATATATATATATATATATATATATATATATATATATATACAGTATCGGACAAAAGTGCAATCAAATATTGCTAATTTAGTTTCTTTATATAAAATGCTTCTAAGGTGGCCAATCCATCACAGATAGGTGGTTGTCTCAAAACCACTGCTTGACTACTTTTGCAGTGTGTTTCCGATCGTTGTCTTGCTGAAAAACCCATTTTATTGGCATATTCCATTTAGCATGAGGTAACATAACATCTTTCAGGATATTTTTATACATAAAACGGTCTATTATTCCATCAATTTAATGTATTGGACCTATACCGTTAGCAGAAAAACACCCCCAGACCATTACACTGCCTCAATCATGCTTCACGGTCTTATGGCAGTAACGTATATTGAGCCGTTTTCCAGCCGGTTGACGAACACGGCAAATGCCATCGATCCCGATGATGTTGAACTTCGATTCATCACTGAACAGAACAGTTCGCAATGTCTGCACATTCCAGTCAATATGAGATGTAGCAAATAAGAGTCTTTTCTTCTGGTTCTTTAGTGAAATCAGTGGTTTCTTGGCAGGGCGTTGAGAATACAATCTGGCTTCAACAGCATGTCGTCTGATTGTTCGGTCTGATACAGGCAACTCTAATTTCTTTTGTATCTCAACTGATAATATCCAGGGATCCTTCTTGACGGATCTGACAATCCTCTCTAGAAGTGGTAGAACGCGGTTTTCCACCTTTGTTATCTGCTGCCAACTTCCCCGTAGAACAATATTTGGAACATAGTCTTGATATGGTCCATTTTTTCACGCAATATTTATCACAAATACTTTTTGTGACATTCCACTTACGCAGTCGCCAAATAGTTTTCTTTCTTAGTTCCAATCTAAGACTGTCGGGAGCCATTTTTGCACTTGAAATGATAAAAATAATAAAAATAAATAATCACGCTTCTCAAGGCTTACCGTGCTATATTAACCTTGTGATGATACAATAATGCTCTGTGGAACACAACGTCTTGGTTGGATGTGGACTGTATTGATGTAATGAAACACTTGTTGTATTTCACTTTTTGTATTGATGTTCTTCATTAAACACTTTGACTATTTAAAGCATAGAATTTTTTTGAACCATAAGGAACTATAAAGAATTTCCTGAACTATTCTCGATGTTTTGAGAAATCTCTGAAGTTTTATAGATTTTTCTGGAGTCTTCTAGAAGTTTCAATGTTTAAACTATAAAAGTTAAACGTAAACTATATAAGTTGCTTGATTCAGCAACGCTTATAATTATATATAAGTCTGTATTCGTTAAATGGCAGTGAAATAATATAGAAGTACAATATATAATAAAGCATATATTGTAGAATCATATACATATATATATATATATATATATATATATATATATATATATATATATATATATATATATATATATATATATATATATATATATATACATATATATATATATATATATATATATATATATATATATATATATATATATATATATATATATATATATATATATATATATATATATATATATATATATATATATATACATATAAAAGTTTATATATCATCATCCACCAAGCATAATTAAATCGATACCAAAAATGATCTCTAACCGTATCAGTAACATATCTTCAAGCAAAGAAGCTTTTTATAGAGCCGCACCATTTTATAATAACGTACAAAATTCTTGTGGATTCAATGATAAGATCAATTTCATTCCAAATACCCAGAAATTTAAAACAAAATCTCGAAAAAGAAACATAATCTCGAAATAAGAAACATAATAAACCTTATTCACTCAACGTCAGAACCAACGTAGCCAAAACATTTTTGAGTACTTGAGTACAATTGATAAATGTGTCCCTAAAGGCCACAAATTTCGCAAACTTTTTAATAAAAACAACTTAAAGGTTAGTTAGTATAGTTTCCTTCCAAACATCAAGAGTATTATTACTTCTCATATATATATATATATATACTAGGTTGGTTGAAAAGTTCGCGGAGCGGCACCTATGTTGCAGTAGTAGAAACAAATTTATAACTGTATTAAACGTATTCATTCTTCGTATGAACGCATAAAAAATTTCAAGTCGATATGTCATTTCAGTCTTTGTTTACAAGCTATTGAAATTAGACGTGTCATAGTATTTTTTAAAATGGAAAATATTGAACATCGTGCTGTAATAAAATTCTATGTGAAAAAAGGTTTAAAGCCCATGGAAATTCATAATGAAATGGTAAATGTGTTGGGTGATGATGCTCCTTCAAAAACAACAGTATGCAAATGGGCTGCGGAGTTTCAACGTGGGCGTTCAAGCCTTGAAGATGACCCTCGCTCTGGACGTCCAAAAAGTGCTACTACTGAAGAAACGATTAATGCTGTGCATGACATGGTTATGGATGATAGACGATTGACCAAACGTGAAATTGCTGAGGCTGTGGGCATCTCAGATGAACGGGTATTACACATCTTGCACGATGAATTACGTCTGAGAAAGCTGTTGGCAAGATGGGTGCCGCATTCGCTAACTCTGGATCAGAAACGCACTCGAGTAAAACTTTCTCAAGAACATTTGGCCCGTTTTCAAAAGAATAAAACAGATTTTGTGCGTCGATTCGTAACCATGGATGAGACTTGGGTTTACCACTATGATCCGAAGCTGCGACAACAAACTGCAGAGTGGACAGAACCCGGTTGTTCAGCTCCGAAGCAAGTGAAGGCGTCAAAATCGTCAAAGAAGGTTATGGCATCAGTTTTTTGGGATGCGAAAGGAATTTTATTAATAGATTACCTTCAAACCGGTAAAACGATAACAGGTGAATATTATAAAAATCTTTTGGACCAGTTGGATAAAAAAATTCGTGAGAAAAGACCTGGTTTGCTGCATAAAAAAATCATTTATCACCAGGACAACGCACCTGCTCATATCAGCGATGTTGCAAAGGCGAAATTGGTCGAATTAAAGTACGAACGCTTGGAACATCCACCCTATTCACCAGATCTGGCTCCGTCCGACTTCCACCTCTTTCCACATCTCAAAAAATTTCTACGTGGAAAGCGTTTCTCATCACATGAAGAAGTCATTGCAGCCGTAAATGGGTATTTTGAAGGCCTTCCGGAATCGCACTTCAGAGATGGGATACATGAATTGGAGAATCGTTGGAAAAAGTGTATTGCTCTTAAGGGAGAATATACTGAAGAATAAAGTCATTTTTTGAATCATAAAATTGTTTTTTCATTTCCGCTCCGCGAACTTTTCAACCAACCTAGTATATATATATATATATATATATATATATATATATATATATATATATATATATATATATATATATATATATATATATATATATATATATATATATGAGAATATAACATTTCTAAATTTTTTTTAATCTACTAATTAGAGGAGTTTTAAATAATAAAGCATCAACCCTAATCTACTCCACTTATTGATACCATGGCCTACTTAAATTACATGTAATTTAAGTAGGCCATGTTGATACAAATATAACTCGCTTTATGATCTAATCATAGCATTATAGGCGAGTCATGGTTGTTTGTATATAAACAGTATAATGATACTGTTGATTATTTATTCATCTGTATCTATTTTCTGTTTGCACCATATAACCAACATTTCTTTTTTCCGTGAAAAAACTTGAAAAGAAATCTTTAACAGAATGGGTAATAAACAACACAACAGACTAAAATTAACATCCCTATCTGTTTGCAAGCTGAAAATCATGGCAATAAAAAATAAGTAACCAAGCATGATAAAAAACTTTTGCACGCAGGAGTTCACCCTTTTAAAATTAATAATTGTCATTCATAGTTGATTCATAAAGCTTAAATAAATTCAAAAATTGCTTTAAAATTTATTTTTCTCAAACAAAGAGCTACAAATCTTTGGACTTATTTTTAATAAGCTCTAATAAACATTAATAGAAATTAATTAATGCGTTTAACACCTTAATTTTTAGATAAATGTCGACACATCGCGAGATTAGAATTATTTTGTTCTATCTCCACTTTTTGAAAAAAATGAGTTATTAATTGTGCAATGTACCTCAAAATAATGTTTTTCTACTATATAAAAAGTTAAAATAAAAAAAGTTTCGGAGAAAACATAAGTAATAAAAATCTTTTTATATGCCGTCTCCTAAAGATTTTATTTTTTAAATCGTTTTATCTCGAAACAAAAAAATGTGGAGATAGAACAAAATAATTCTAACCTCGCGACATATTAACAATTTGCTCAAAAAAAATTTAATTATGCTTTTTTTAAGAAAATTATTTTTTTGCTTATTAGAAACAGCACTAAATATTAATTTTAATTAAACTCTATTGCAGCACAACAGTTCTTTTTATAATTTTGCGCTTGTTGAGTCTTCAACGATATGCATATATATGCAGTTAATATAACACAACATTGAATTCTTCTAATTTATTTTTACAATTTTGCGAGAACTCTTGTGGTACTTAGAAGTTTAAAATACTAAAATAAAGCACACACACTTTCAAATAAAATACATACTCTTTTTGATTTCGAATTATGTTTTAATAGGTTGTTTGTTTGTTTTTTTGAACATTATTATAACAATAAAATAGTATAAAATATTATTAATATTGTTACAACTATTGGATGAAATTAATTAATTGATTGCAAAAAATATTGCTTAATTAAATATATATTTTTTGTGCAAATTAACAACATTCTTTTAAAAAATTCTTAACACAAGTTTAGACCATACCAGAAAGTACCTAATACAAATATCAAAAAGTAAAAGCAATAACTTCCGTTTTTCAAAACCTATTTTAGTTATTCGTTTTTATCAAAATTTTTTTTTAAATTTAAATTATATGTTTATATTGTCTTACAAATAATTCCTTGGGTCCCACATTAAACTTGGTAGAATCGCTGCAAACGTTTTTGAATGGAAATAACATCTCCATAATAACACTGCTATGAGTCTATTAAAATTCATAATAACTTCACTTAAATTTTTTATCAATAAAAAAGAATAGTTTTAACTAAGTTAAAAATATGCTTAAATTTACTGAACAACGAAGGAATGTTTAAAGTAAAGTTATCCTTATAAACAAAAGAAGAACATAATGAATAAAATACGGCAGCGAGTTTTTAATGACATTAAATCTAATATTATCAAATCCCAACTTTGTCCTATTTTTAAAGATATACTGCATTTAAACGTTCATTTTTCAGTAATCCCATAACTATCTTTCAGTAATCTAACTAATTCTTAGAGGTGCTATTAAAAGTTAAATATGACTTAATGTTTGCTTAGGTGGTTTCTATTTTTGACGCTTAGCTGGAACCTAGACTGAAATATAGAATGTTATAAAAAATTTTAATCTTTGTTAAAAAAAAAATTTTCTTCAAATCCCAATAATTAAATTAAAAAACTTTGTTTCACTTTAAATACGCCTTTGTATTTTACATACGTACTTGTGTTTATTTGGTAAACTCTTTTATTTTCATATTAGCTTCTAGAGGATGTTGAAATTCTCCTAATATGCTTTGCTATTTATGTGGATATTACATCGGTAAAAAACAGGTATTCCATAAGATTATAAAAGAAAGCCTACCAGCACCACAACAAGCAAATATTTGAGTATGTCTGATTGTTGTGGAGCTTTTTTCATACTTGTTTTTTGTAGTTTTAAATATAATTTGATTTAACATGAAATCTTTACAAACACTTTACATGAAGTCTTTACAAACACTTTACACGATGTCTTCACTAACACTTTACATGAAGTTTTTATTAACACTTTACATGAAGACTTTACTTTGGACTTGTTTTTAAAGAAGTGTTAAACGCTTCTGTTATTTATGTCCATCTTGAAGTATTTTTTAATTTCATTCTTTTACAAAGGAATGTGCGATGAATATAATATCACAAGAATCAGCAGGTAATAGTAGCAAAGTCATAGTGGACGTTTTTGTACGAATAGACTTATTTTACAAATGTGAATAAGCTAGATGATTTAATCAAAGATTTTGAATTTACTAAATCAGAAGCTAAACTTTTTTTATCAAGGCTACTAGAACAAAAATTAATAGACAAAGACCATAGAACATGTGTGAACGATATAAAGGAATAAATATAAAGAATTTTAAAGCAGGCGCCGCAGTGGTTAGAGTTCTGGACAGTGGCAATTGTTTATAGATTGATCAAAGCAGTGTTGCTCCACAATTGAAATAAATTTCCATCTTTATTTCTTGGAAACATGTTACAGAAGAAAAAAGACTATGATAATGTTTTTTCTTTTAGCGCCTATAATATACATATCAAAAACCTCTCTAAAAGTTGTTGTTCAATTCTAATATTAACCATTTGTGCTCATAAACATATAAACTAACCTTAGGAGAGTAGGAACTATTAATTTACGGAATATTTTAATGTTTACAACACTGAAGATTATTGACAAAAATAAATGTAATCGTGAGGCTTTTCTTATTACAGATGGCTTTGAGAAGTAAAATTATAAATGATCCAAATAAAGTTCTTCAAATCCATGATCAAATGGATGATTTTAGTGATTTATCCTGTCAATCTTCATAGTCTGATGACAACAAATTTCAAGAGAATAAGACTTTTAGTTGTTCACCAACAGTTCCATTGTCAGCAAGTCGGTCATCATCATTAGAAATAATTTAATTGTCATCGTCTGAACATTATTTAAGTTCTGAAGATGATTCAACAGAAAAAACAGATGTGCACTTTGCTATCAATAACTCAAGAACTAATGATTACAAAGTAATCTATACAATAACATTTGCTCATAACAATGTTACTGTAAATGAGGAAAGAAAAATACGTAAACGACCATCTATTCCTACCATAAAATCGAACTTTATAAAGACAAATAAAAAACTTCTTACTATTAAGACTAAGAAATCTAATATTAGTAAAGATAACAGAGAAAAAAATTTAAATTACTAGGACTATTATTCCATTTAAGGAAACACCTGGACCAACGTTTAAAAAATCTGTAATACCAAATTGTGATTGCAATATCAAACCAATCAACTTGTTTAAATTATTTTTTGATAATGCTTTAATACAAAAACTTGTCACTGAAACAAATCACTATTATTTAAAAAAGTTACAATTTTTTCCTATAAACCATAGAATGATTTAGGTTGATGTTACGTCGAATGATATCAAAGTATCTATAGTAATCTGTTTAGCAATGGGAATAATAAAACTTCCTTGCATCCATGACTAATGGAGACAAAAGCAATGGGTTTTTCTTTCTTATATTTTAGTAAAGTAATATCTCGTGATTGATTTAGACTAATTCATCATTACCTTTATTTTTGCAATAAGACAGCTGTGATACCAAGAGAGATAAAGAAAGTTATGACAAACCTTTCTAGGTGCGTGTGTTGCTAGATGACCTTTGCCCTAAATTTAGAAATCTTTATAAACCAAAAAGAGACATTTGCATTGATGAAAGTATGATACCTTTCAAGGTAAGAATCTCTTTCTGACAATTTGTTCCAAGAAAACGTACAAAATTTGGGATAGATTTGGAAAAGCATGGGTAATGTCAGCTTCTGGGTACATATCTGAATTTTTGATTTACACTGGAAAAGATATTGACGGACTAAAGCGACATGACCTTGCAGGAACTTTTGTTTGTCAAAAAAATCAACATGTTCTAGAACAAGGGTACCATCTATATTTAGATAACTATTACACTAAAGTTGGTTTGCTTGAGTACCTTTATGAGAATAATGTGTACACAACTGATACTGCACGTGTTGATCGCATCCAATTTTTTAAGGAGATTATAATGAAGACAAAAATAATGATTCAACGAGGGTATTGTAGGCAAATGTGTGGTCCAATTTTGGTGCAGTCTGGATTGGCAGCAAGCCTGTTCATATATACTTTCAACAATTTAGTATCCAAATTGCGACGATTAAGATGCAACAAGCAGTACAATATTTGTAAAGCAAAAAGGAAAAAAAGGATCAATTGGTGGAATAAATGTGAAATGCCCCTACCGCCTCCCCGTAAACACACACACACGAATAAAGATTATAATGCCAACATGGGTGGTGGAGATTCAGAAGATCAAATCATGAAGTATTAAAATTGTGGAAGAAAATCAAGTAAATGGTATAAGCGATATCTTTTAACACTTATTGGAAAAATGTGTTCATTATGCTTTGGTACTCGAGTCTTGGTTTACTGACCATCATGCTCGCAGTCATCAAAGTTTTTGTGAGGAACTCATTGAACAATTAGTAGGAAATACTAGATCTAAGAATAGTGGAAGACCTAATAATTCAAATAAACACATAACATTACGATATACAAATTCATAAACCTTTGGTGAATGATAAGCCAAGAAATTGCAAAAATTGTTCTGAAAAGATTCGAAAAGCTAATTTAGTTGGTCAGTCCCAGCGCTATTCAGAAGGAGTTTGTAGATCAAGTGTTTTTTGCTCATTTTTTAATTTCCATTTATGTCTTGATTCAGTATCCAATTGTTGGGATATGTGGCATTTATATTTTTATTTTAAAAATTTTGTATACATATTCACTTGTGTTGACTAAATATAGTAAATAAAATGACTTAAAAAATACTTTCTTCTTTTTTAAAAAAAATGTAAACTTAATATTTTCTACCTATCTAAATGAGAAAAATGGACCATCAAAATAGTTATTTTTTTTTAGTTATTTTTTAAATTTTTATTGAATAACAAAAATCAGGTTAAAAAAAGTGACGTCATCAGAGAAAAATGTTAATTATTCATTTTCTAGTTATCTAAATAAGGAAAGTAACCTATCAAAAGAAAGCTTAATAAATTTTGCACCTTTTTAAAAGCCTTTTAAAACAATCTAGCTTGCTAATTAAAATGCTTAAAGAACAAATATTTAAAACTGGCAAAGCTTGTCTACAAATATGAAATAATGCAGCCGTCATTTTTTACTTTATTATTTTAATTTTTTGATTCCAAATTTTGCCTGCTTTCCAGTTATATATACTTTGTTGAAATTGTTTTCTAGGGAAACTAATATATTTAAGTGTTAACGTGACATACTATTGTATTTTTTAAGTTATCAAAATAAATTCTGGTACGAAGGAGTTAAGTTGAAATTTAATTGATGGGGCCGATATATCATGCCAATATTATAAATGCACATCAGAATTTTATATTTGAAGCATTCATTTAAAATCCTAACCATGCCAAAGAACACGTTGATTTTGTTAAAATTTTTTGCATTTGCTGCTTCAGGAAAGACAACGATTTAGGACCTATTTATAATAACAAAAAAACATATATAAATAAAATATATAAATAAAAAGAAAAAAGTCTATTTAAACCTTATCTAAACAGTATTCTGGAAAGATTGTTTAACTAATAATTTTCATCTTCTTACCATGCTTTGCTCAAAATGTAGGAAAAAGCTTGCCGGGACTGACCCTTACTTCACTATGCGACTGTGTTATGAAGGTAAAACATACATATTTATAAAAAATGTACTTTAGATAAAGTTTAGTAACGTTATTATGAAAACAATAATTTTTAAATATGCGTTTTGAAATTTAGACCTGAATACCAGAGTTATTAGGGCCAGAAAATGTGAACATTTTATATGTGAAAATAGGCTTAAATCAAAAATGAAAAAAAAATTTGGCCCCTACGGTTAAATGTCTTTCGAGAAAACCTATTTATAAAGGTGCCGACGACGTTTCAAATAAACCTGCAAAAATATTTATTTGTACAGATAGCTTCAAGTGTCACAAGGAATTCCACATTGCGGTACGAGGTTAGAAAGACAAAAGAATTTGACGGCCATTGTAAGATCAACATCGCCTACAACGCAAGATATAGGTCTGTCCAGTTCTATTAAAAGCTTGACCACAAATGAATCAAGGAACACTTTAGCTTTGAAAAATTTTGGTTTAAAGCAACTTGTTGTCTTTGTCGGAGAGAGGACAAAAAATCTTTTTTTTTTTTATGGATGAATTGAACAAACTTTAACTAA